CGTGTATTAATGTTTTGGGGCATATGGTCAAGTATTCTTATGAATGAAACGGTCAATTTTTATTGGAAGTCGAGTAGATCCAAGCGCAGCGAAGTGCTTTCCACTTCGAACCAAGCAAACGCTGGCTCAATAAGTCGTCAACACACAAAAGGGTTGGGATCGGATACTTCACATACAAGCGGATGCAAAAGTTTGCCAAATATTCGACATCTTGATTACTCCTTATTTTAACAATACAGGTACAAAATTCAACATTTGGCCAGATGTATTTGTGAATATCTACAAGGACCGGAAAACCGGTATTTGTAGGGGGGTAAGCTGCTATCAAAATACTCTTTTTCTAGGAGGCAGTAATTCGGATATTTAGTATCCGCCTTTATATAATCAATCCTAATATAAATATTGAACATATGGTGTCGGTTATTTCAGTGGCACCTCTCCGGGTATGAGCACTATCTGTTCGTTTATTAACACGACTTCTGAGAGTCGAAGTTTCCCCTGTGCAAAGTGCGCGACAATGCTGTTGCCTTTGTGGTAGATCCATGTCGACATTTCCGCTGTAGTTTATATTTTGCAGTTTTGAAACGATTGATGAAAAGGGTACAAAATATCCTCCTGCATGCCAATGTCAACCAAAAAAACGAATTGATATTCATTTCCTCTTTGTATCGACACAATGCTTACTTATCTATCCAAAAAGTATAGACCTTTACGTAATTGATCGCCATAGATAATCGTTCGGCATACCAAATGGCTGCAAAGATCAATTAAAGCATTCAGATTTTATTTCTTAGTGATAAAAGGTGCCTAAAAGCAAACTGTAAGCGCAAAAGACATTGCTTGTTTCGCTAAAAATCCCATTTGAGGTTCTTTTTCGTAAATTGTTTGTCTGCTTAACGATAGAGTTGCTCGACCGAAAGATTCTTAGCAATCTCAAACTCCCACTTGTCGCCATTTTCCAACAACTTGGCCTTGTCATACAGCAATTCTTCGTGAGTTTCGGTGGCAAATTCGAAGTTCGGGCCTTCAACGATAGCGTCAACAGGACACGCCTCCTGACAAAATCCGCAGTAAATGCACTTTGTCATGTCGATGTCATAACGCGTGGTACGACGCGCTCCATCCGCACGCGGTTCCTGTAGCAGTATGTACGAAATAATTCTTATCATTTTACTTTTCATCATGATAATCAAAATGCTTCTCTAAACGAACCGCTTCAATAGTAATGGCCTGAGCAGGACAAATAGCTTCACAAAGCTTGCAAGCAATGCATCTATAGAACAAGTTATTAAGAAATCTCATCGCACAATTTCAATGAGAGACAAAATGTTTTACCGCTCCTCTCCGCTCGGGTAACGACGCAGTGCATGTTCTCCACGAAAACGTGGGCTAAGCATTCCTTTCTCAAATGGGTAATTGATTGTGACTTTGCGCTCGACGTGCATCTCCCATGCTAACCAGGTAGCACGAAAAACGTCCGAGAGAAAAAAGGTGTTCGACATCTTCTCGATCACTTCGCTCCACGTTGACTTCGGGTCCGGCTTGCCCTGTGCAGGAACATTTGCAAATCCACGTACACTGTCGCTGAATGCAATGGGCGTAAATCGACCCAAACTCTGCTTAGCGGTTATCACCACGGCGGATCGACGCAGCATCACTACATTCATTGCTATTCCGTAATTTTAAGCCGCTCGTCACTACAGTAACCTTAGCGCAACACTGTGATCTACTGAAATAATAAGATACGTATTTGACATAAATTTTATAATTGCTGGAAGCGAGAATGGCGTCGAACGCGTTTGTGTTATGCAAAGTGCGGCATAGTGTGAGTCTGTCGCCATGTCATGTTATGAACGCACGTGTGGGTATCGAACAACATCTAACGGAACAGCTTATGCGCTACTCGGAGCCTCTACAAGGCGTCATACTAAGCTTTAGTAACATTCAGCTGAACAAGCCTTACGGTGTCATTGTAAACGAGATGCCATATATCCATTGCAAAGTCTTAACCGATGCGCTCGTTTTTCAACCGAAGAAAGGAATGGTGCTGCGTGGTTTTGTCAATAAGATCGGTAGTAATCACGTCGGTATGCTATTTGCTGGTGTCTTCAATGGCTCTGTGGCGGAGGCTGAACTTCCAAAAGGATACGTGCATAATTATGCCCAGGATTGCTGGTACGAAGGTTCCTGCCACGAAAAGTAACAATGTCATTGACGTAGTTCTTTGATTCAGGTTGAGCGAAAATGGTTCCTCTATTTCCGTAGGAAACGAAATTGACGTCAAAGTGCTGAAGTGAGTAAATGACGGCATCAGCCAACATCTCATTGCAATAGATTGTACTAACTGAGTATGATAGTGTTCATGTTGCGGGTAGTATGGTCGCGATTGAAGCCACGATGCTTTTTAATGACATTGTGAAGGCTGTGTCGACGAAGGTGAAGAAAGCCAAGCATCTCAATCTGGTTGCTGGAGAACCAGTGACGAAAGAGAAGAAGGTAAAGAAAAGTAAAGGCATTGAGAAGCATAAAAAGGTGACTAAGGACAAGAAGCGCAAGCACGACAAAATTGTTCACGACGATGCAGTGCGACAAGAAGCTGAGCCCGTTGAAGTAAAAGAGGTGACATTGAAAAAGCATAAACACAAGGACAAAGATGCCAAGAAAAAAAAGAAGCACAAGAAGAGCAAACACGACTAGATGATTAGAACAGACACGATAGAAGGAGGACGGGGTGATTCCGCTGCATATACTTATCTTTAAATGTGATGTTGACACTCTCGTCTCGGCCTGTTAAGTATGCTCTCTGCTTCATGTGGAACGAGATCATTCATACGAAACTACGTTTTCTAACTCTGCCGGGATCGGAGGTAGTGGCTGCTTTGCGTCGCGAATGCACCAGTTAGGAGATTGCTGAGCTTTATGCCACTTAAAGTCGTTCACTTTAGCCCAAAGACCCGAGTCTTTCAACAATCCGAGACGCTCCAATTGTGTTTTTAGCCCCTCAAACTGCAAGCGATACGGTCCAAATTGCATTTGCTGACAGTCTTCAATTATAGGGTGGCTTCCGATACGAAGGTGGAATGTTGTTGCACTGCTCAAGTGGACACGGAGCTGGCGGCAGGCAACGAAAAATTCGCATCCTATACACTTTTCAAGCCACAAACTGCCAAATATCGCTCCCGTGTAAAAGACACAGTTTTTCAATGCATCTCCACGAATTGCCAAGGTCTCAACACACACCAATACAACGCAATTGGTCAAGTGTGAGAAATTAAGGTCGCGATTCTTATTGGCGTCTGTGTCAGAGAAGCTATTAGAATCGATGATAATCACTTGGTTCTGTTTATTAGCATAAACAAGCTCGTTGAACTCCACTGCTCTTACTTGATTGTCTTTGCATTCGTATATACCGGATGCTGTGTCTTGTTCTGGCTGAGTCACTTCCTTTGATGGCTTAAGCTTTGCCTGTCTTGCAGCATGAGCTCGAAACATAAATTTTTTTCTTGGAGCAAATTTTGTGCGGGTCGTTGCTATTAATTCCTGAAGTCTGGACAGAATTAACTGAGTATGACGAGTATCGTAAGGTGATAAATACAACGACGATGCTGTTGCAGCAGCGTCTCGCATATTATTCACCTCAAGCACCAGTGCGACGAGCTGCACCTCCTTGGCTGTGTCACATGGCAACGGCTGCTTCTTTTGTTCACAGAACAGTCCCACTTGCTTGCGTATATGCTCTTCTTGTTGTGTAAATGATTCCCAGAACTTTGTTGCGAGCTCATCAGTTGTCATCTCTCGATGTAGCTTTGAAGCATCGAAAGTAGATCCAGCAACTGTAGTCCTTGCTTCTTGCTTCTCTTTGCGTCGCTCTTCTAATGCATGAGCCAAACTCTCCTCATGAGTTGTAAGTATAGGAAATTCTCCCCTAACATTGACCCTCGCTGACCGCACAATAGCGCCGTGCAATGGCTTGCAGTCAAAGTAGCGTTTACCTTTGAACGAACCGTCGCTCTTACCCAATGGTTTGTCCAACCGCACACCTAGCCAGTCATCACCTGATAGACCATCAATCGGTCCAATGTAAGCAATTTCGCCATAACGCTTGATACTAGCACGTAAGCTGCCACTGGCACCCGAAGACAAGAGCTCACAGCGCATTCCAACAGCCAGTTGTGTTGACATATCAACACTTTTGAATGAGCGTTTACATACACCTTATCCAATTTTTATAAATTCTCTTATACAGGGATGGTATGTACTATTTTATCTTTTAGAAGAACGACCTGGTTGACATCACTCTGGTCGACTCAATTTCGTTTTCACCATGAGGTAGAGCTATAGTATCGCTAAGGGAAAGCATTCGAAGAATCGTTCATGCCACTTTTAAAGTTCTGACCGCTCGCCGAGAAAGGGTTAGCCGCCAGACCGAGAGAGCTCACGGAAGGCAACATGGAAGGGTCATCCTCCACTTACCCTGCTCGGTGAGCACGGACTTTTCTGTTTCCATGTAGGGTGGACATGGAACCGGCAGTTTGAAACCAGCATCTCGAACGAGTGGAAGGGATATCCTCTCTGCAACGGGGTTACACATACCCTGGTAACAGGTGTGTGTGTCACACCAGATGGGCATGATGTGACTACACCCAAATAAAAATACGGTACGTGGCTGGGTAGCCAGGTTATGCATGTATTTAGATTTTACTATATAAATCTAATCTATACATCTAAATATATATTAGGCGGCTTTGCCGCAGAAAAAATAAATAAAGTCAGTTTTTGGTTTAAACGGAAGAGTTAATTAGCCTTGGGTTAAGGCGATCACTACTCTTGGAGTAAGCGGATTGCGATCCGCTGAACTCGTACTTGTTTTAAGTATAGAACGTTAGATCGGTGACCTAACTTACGCTTCCTCAAAGCGCAGAGCTACGGCAGCCCCGCTGCACTTGGTAGCACTT